GGGTGGGGTGGGGTGTAGTCGAGGTAGGGTGAGAGCAAGGAAGGGTGAACGAAGAAAAGGAAAGAAGGGAATATGAAAGGGTGAGGTGAAGATAGAAACTAGCGGGAAGGGGGAAGGACTAGTGATACAAAGTACCGGAAAAAAAAAGGGGAAAAGGAGAGATGAAAATGGGAAGTGCGCGATCGTGAGCAAACGCACTGTCCAAGAAAAGTTCGCAACGTGAAGGGAACGCCATCAACGACGATTAGCAAACGACGTTGTTAGTAGAAAAAGAAAAAAATAATAAAATATTACTTTACATGAAACGGTTGGTGCGCGCGTGAAGATCTAGGAACGACCGAGCTACGTAACGAACAGTTTTGCGATAAGAACATCGAAACCAAGACAGCTAGGCCACCTTTCCTCTTATACGGTGCCTACCTCTCTTGGCTGAATCGTTTCGCTCGGCTCTGTTCGGCTCTTCTCGTAACGATTAATCCAAATTAGCGGCTCGGATAAGCTCTTTTTCTCCGCGAGCGTTCGCGGCCGCGAATACCGAGGACGAATACCTGCGAGCGAACCGACGGAAAATAAGGAACCGAACGTGATGCTCGGTGACAACGAGTAACGAGTCGAACGTGGCTCGATCATGGATACATCAGAGAATCGCCCCCTTTGCATCCTCTGCACCCCTCGCTTACGAGCAATCATGGCTGCCTAATACACGGCGCTCGGTATCGACCAATTTTCTCTACCGTAATCGTAATACGCTTTAGGTTAAAAACTTAACCTACCCAAGCTCCGGGGCGTGTCGCTTCTTTCGCGTTGACAGCTACAAAGTTGGTCGCGTGGTGCTTATTCGCGTCGTGTCTCGTTGCGTAGCGTCGCGTCGCGTCGATTCATTTCGTTCGCACGATCATACGTTTTTCTATTCGTTCACGCTTCATCGTGTTTTCGTGTTGTCGTGTCGTCTCGTGTTGTCGTGTCTCGTGTTCTCGTGTTCTCGTGTTGTCACGTACCAAGAAAGGGCCGATACAAGCCCGATAATCACGAGCATGCAATCACCGTTGATTTTTCACGAATCTCATGCTACGGATTACCCGAAACTTTCAGGAATCCCGATCATTCTACTACCACTTTGCAGCCAAGGAATGTAGGCGACGAAAGTACGGATCAGAATAATAATATAACTATGACGAGCGAGGATTTACTGCAGCCTGGCCATGTGGTCAAAGAACGCTGGAGAGTCGTAAGTTTAGAAATCTTTACTTTCTTCTGCTTCTCTCCTTTTCTTATTCTCTTAATTCCTTATTCCATTGCTTTTCCGTACCACCTCTCCTTCTTCTTTACAGTCTTTTCTTTTGTCCGCTTTATCGGTTTCATTTTCTGTTTAATACAGTTTAAAAAGATAGGAGGCGGCGGATTCGGCGAGATCTACGAAGGCCTAGATTTGATAACCAGGGAGCAGATAGCCTTAAAAGTTGAATCGGCTCGTCAACCCAAGCAAGTTCTGAAAATGGAGGTAGCGGTGTTGAAGAAACTTCAAGGTTTGTAACTTTATATATCCTCTTTTTATATATTCTTTTATCCGTGTTGATAGGTCCAACCGCTAATAAGTCCTATTTACATAGGTCAAGAACACGTATGCAGGTTCATTGGTTGTGGTCGTAACGATAGATTCAATTACGTGGTAATGCAGTTACAAGGAAAGAATTTGGCAGAGTTGCGTCGTGCCCAGCCACGAGGCTCCTTCACGTTATCTACTACTCTGCGTTTAGGACTGCAAATTCTCAAAGCGATAGAAAGCATACACTCTGTTGGCTTTCTTCATAGAGACATTAAACCGGTGAGTATATCTTTTACTCGCAGCATATCCGTTGCAATTTATCGATTATTTATTCTATTCCATTATGGATTAATGGATTATCTATTCCATTTATTATCTCGTTCTAGTCAAATTTTTCGATGGGACGACTTCCCCGTGATTCGAGGTTGGTTTACATGTTGGACTTTGGTTTAGCTCGTCAATTTACCACCGGTACCGGTGAAGTTAGACCACCTCGTAGCGCGGCGGGATTCAGAGGAACCGTCCGGTACGCATCCGTGAATGCGCACAAAAATAAAGAAATGGGCAGACACGATGATTTGTGGTCATTGTTTTATATGCTAGTAGAGTTTGTTAATGGACAACTTCCATGGAGAAAAATTAAGGATAAAGAACAGGTACGTATCTATTCGTTCTAGAGAGCAAGCGTTTCAATTTTCATCTAATTACCACCTTCCTATCTAGGTTGGTCTGATGAAAGAAAAGTACGATCATCGATTACTTCTGAGGTATCTACCACCCGAGATCCGAGTCTTTTTAGAGCATATTCAGGTAAGCTAGTTTGCAGATGATTAAGACGAAAGTTGATTCTCGTTTCGCGAGAATTATATGCGATATTTCTTTTCAACTTATATTTCCTCCTAATCGTGTAAACGAACAGTGAGTGAGATCTTCCTTTCAGAGTTTGGAATACGCGGACAAACCAAATTACCCGATGTTGGCCGGTTTGTTCGAGCGTTGTATGAAACGTAGAGGAATTAAAATGAACGATCCTTACGATTGGGAGAAGCCATCGAGATCCAACGAAAGTTTACCTACTACCAAATCTCTTCCTACCGTTACCGTACCTCCGGTTTTGACCACGGCGACTACTATTAATCAGCCACCGACCACGCCAAACGTTGACACGAACAATCAAGAAAACGTCGAACCCGACAACAGAAAGGAATTAGATGTAAGACGGAATAATGATCACGAATAACGGCAGGAAACATCGCTGTAACTTTATGTGTAATTCTTTCGTCCGATTTGTTCGATAGGCACAAATGGATTACGAAAGCATATGTAGAAGAAATAAACAACGCGGAGTCGAAGGTTCGTCCGTACCATTTACATCGGCTATTAGCAATCATGGCCGTGATAAGAACTGTAACGCTACGATACCTACGATGGACAATATTCATCAGCAAACCGGACAACAAACTCAAGGTAGTATTTCCTTTTTCTCCTTTACTCTCGAAAATGTTCGCTGTTCGCTTTCGATCAAACGAAAAACGAAAATTTACAGATTCGCCGAAGAAGAGACGCGCAGTTTCGATGGCTGCGGAACCTCAGACGGGCACGGTCACCGTAGAAAAACGAGTAGACAACGAAGGAGACGCGTTAATGGCATCCGCTCGTTCCGCTTCGGACGTTCCTCGTAACAAACTTGGAGCGAACGCCGCCGCGCCGCTTCGAAAGTCTGCTAGCGGTGCAACATTCGCTCGACTGCGCGTCCCTCCACCCAGCGAAACGCCACCCGGCGAACCACCCAGCCCTCGAGTACAAACCGATGTCGATGCTTCTTACTGTTCCTACGACGTTACTAATCCAAAATACGTCGGCAACCAGAGTCCCGTACGTCTAAAAATCTGCACGATTCGATTCGATTCTTTTTCACGTACAATCGTTTAATCGCGTAACAGGTTACCGAACAGAGGGAACCGCTAAAGAGAGAAACGCGAAGAAGAACGGATGGAAGGCAACAGACTAGAGCTAGTCGTTCCGCGATGCGAGACTGTTCCATCACTCAGTTTGCGCAAATAGACGACGATAACGTATCCGCGTTGCAACAAGTAACCAAAGGTGGCGGTGCCCTAACCTTGGCCTCTCAATGGAAATCGCAGTTCGACGATTCCGAAGAGACCGACAACGAATGGAAAGGAGAAAACTTGCAGAGTCCTGAACACAAAGGAACCACTAATATGCCGCTTATAACTCCTCAGGTACGCCTTTCTCGTATGTTTGCTGTTACAGATACCAAGAAAAAAATACAGTATTTCTTATGTCACTATGACGCTATGCGTTGATGAAAAAAAAAAAATTGCAAGGAAGTAGAAAGGTGTTGAACGAACAGTTTTGATCGTTATAACACATAAAGTTGACGCGTGCGTGTGCGTGTGCGTGCGCTTGTGCGTGGCATGTGCAAAGTGTGTATGCGGATGCGCGTGTGCAATGCTTTAGAAAATTATTGTGAAATACAGAAAACTTATAGATGTGTTTGATATTTTAGCCACATCTGGCCTGTATCGATGCCCTCGTTTGATGCGCCTGTTACCTGCTACAGAAACGAATCGACCTCTTTGTCTATATCGTCGTTACGAGCTTTACACGTTTTCCTGTATTCGTTTGTCTTTTCGTGAAATATTTACTTTTTGTGTTGTTTGTTAAAAATTGATTCCAAGTCGTTTGCCAAAGTCGCTAAGCGTTACACGTTACGTTGTCGCGAACATTCGGCGAGGCGCAATTGTTTTTAGTCAACGTGACTTTAATCGTGTTACGTCGTGTTAGTGTTAGAAAAGCATGTGTTAATTTTTCAAAATAATCATTACGTGTGCGTTTGATCGTTAGATTCGTCGCGTCGCGTCGGGTTTCGCGCGTGATCGATTAGTATATTCGGACCACGACTATTCGAACGATTCGCAATTGTATTTTTTTTTATAAAATTTCTATATATATAGTCGGCAGTTGTCAGTGATGCTGTGACTACCGCAACTTCAGTGCCTGCGTCTATCGATGCGAAAACAACGGTGGTTCAAACGACTACGCCAATCGCGTCTCATCAGCATTCGATAATACCGACTGCTCTCTCTCGCATAAGCGAAGACTCTCCGAAACCCACGACTCCTCACAGATGTTTAAACATCGCTGGTATCGAAAAATATCCAGATCTTCAAGGAGCACTACCACGCGCTTGGAGCGTTCCAGCTTTGGCGCCACACGTGCGCGCTTATCTCGAAGCCCCGTTGGTACGTATGGAAATATCGTACGAAGATATCGTAGTAAGTCTAAGATATCGTAGTAAGTTCTTGTTTGTTGCTCGGGGGGAGGACAGGTTCAACAAGCAGCGTTCGACGATTTGTTCTACGAAATCGACGTGATGAGAAATATCGCGACGCGCTACGACGAACCAAGGCAGAGTCCTCCACCGCGAAGAGCGAGCGTACCAGCGGTCGCTTTTTCACCGCCTAACACGATACCGAGCACGCCCGGAGCCGAAGAGGAAGAGGAAGCGGTAGCTGGAAGATTAGAGATCAGGGTAGTGGACGCGACTGGCGGTGCAACCGTTGTCCAAACCACCGCGGACAAAGAACCGTTACAAAGTAAGTACGATCTCCGTTAATACCGACTTCGTTTTCCTTCGATTTACGGTTATTTTCATTTTCAACATTTTCGGACACCGCTCCGAGATGCTCCGATCCGATTCGATTACTGTTCGTTTCGCGTAATTTCATAGAAAAAATGGCAAATGGTACCGGGGATGGCCCAGCTAGCCCTAATCCAGGCTTCGAAGAACCGTCGGTGTACGACGATGCCGTTGAGAATCGGGCACCCATCGATGCTGCCGCGCATAAGGAGAACAGTACAGTCACTTGCTCGACCGCTGTACCGAACACGGTACCGCTTCGTGAAAATAAGGACAATAAAGAAAAGGAGGCTCCTTCTAGGACTCACAATACTATCAGTAAAATTCCGATTCCGGTTAAAAGTCCCCGATGTTCGTTGTCAGAATCGACTTTAGAAACGAACACTCAGAATACCAGGAGTGCCGTGGGAACCGAAGTAGAAAAGTCGTCCACACCCGCGGCTATAACCAGGGAAAAAGATGCTAGTTAGTAAGATTTTTTTTCTCAGTCTAAATCATAATCGTACGATTAATCTGTTCGAATACCGTTGCACCTTTGCACCTTTTAACGAGTCGCGTGAAATTTTTCTTTCTTTTCTCCTTACGAGAAAGAAGCATAAGAAAAATCGATGCAACGTAGAGCGTTTAGAAAGCGAATAAATCTCGAGTTCGAGTTGACTTGTCGCCGCTTGTAGTATAACAGGCGCGATGCGTCTCGGTAAGTTCGTCGATATCGTAATATTTGCCAAAGGATCATTCTTCCGAGAGATAACGAGAAACGATAATGCGTGAAAGGAAGTATTCGCAACGTTCGTTCGGGTCGAGATTTAATCGTAACGCGAACCGTGATCTCACGGCGAAAACGCGTTACGCTCGAAACTTTCTCAAAAGTCGCCCGATCGCACGGTAATTCCTACTTTTTTTTCTCTTTTCCTTTCGCACGAACGCTCGATCAAAAATCATACAAGAACGCTACCGTCAGCGAACCGTTACGAGTCTGTTCGTTCCTTTTTCGACGCGAACGCGATCGTTCGTCGTTCGATCGATCATACGTGGAAGAATGAGAAAACACGATTTCGATCGTCTATAAGCAAAAAAATATAGGAAAAAAAGAAAAAAAAAAAAGAGTTAAAAATTGAAAAAAAAACTAAAAGTAAAATAGAAATAAAAATAAAAAAGATAGAATAGAGAAAAAAAAGAAAGAGACGAGGAAAGAAGGAAAGAAGGGAAGGAAGAAGGAAAAGAAAGAGGAAAAGGAAAAAGAAAGAGAAGAGAAGGGAGGGGAAGAAAATGGAAAGGAAGGTTCACGCTTCCGTTAATCGTATTCGTGTTTTGGAAGCGAATTTGTCGCGCGATTAATGCCGAGTATAGATTCTTAGCGATACTAACATTGCCAAATTTTAGCTAGCAAAGGCAAACCCTTGACAGTGGAGGCGTTGGCATTGCGACGCTGCGTGACATTGCCCGACGCACGACCGACCTTTTCACCGTTAACGTCGGCTAATTCAACGGAAGAGGAAAATTTAACTGGCTGCACCCCCGCGTTGCGTCGACGAAGGCAGAGCGAGAAATACGTAACGGACGCCAGTCAGCTGAATCTGCGGTTCCAGAGACCGCAACGCAGGGTCAGGCCGAATTCCGAAGTATTGTCCGGATTTTCACCGAGAGGCGTGCCCTCGCATCTCCTGGGAGAAGCGGCTAAGCGAACCGAAGAGAGTAGCGATAACGATTCGGACAGTAGCGGTCCGACGAATGCTCAACCTCCACCACCTCCTACGTCTCTGCCACCTCACGTAGCAGAAAACAATGCCAGGTATCGGTTTTACGATTTTTACGTCTAGTCTGGTTACGGTTAAATATCGATATCGATATCGACAATTACAGATGCCGCAGATTTCGACCTATACCGGACGCGACGATAATCAGCAAAGAATCGTGAGGTATAGCATTTACGGGAAGGAAAATAAATCCTCGTTTATACGTGACGATCGACAGAAGCTTGGCGGTCTGCTCGTTCGAATAGGCGACCAAGTATATCGACTCGTCGACGATTCGGCTCGATATCACGTTCGAGTCTTTGCAAGACTTCCGTCAGAGGAGAGAATACGAAACGTTGCCACGGCAGGAACGATCGTTCCTTTTTCTTCTTCTCGACGAAGCGATTTCGGTTCAAACGTTCGAACGCGTGTTCAAGGGGAAATTAGTAGAACACACGACACACTCGACTTCGACTCGATAACGCGCGACGAATCTCGTAGAATCTGTACGACGAACGAACCGAAACACTTACATGTAACTATCTATGTTACGCGTATTTATTTTTAACGCGATACTCTGTCGTAAAAAGACGGCTGTACGAATCGGTGGTGCTTCAAAGATTATATTTCCTAGTCTATAAACGTGTCGGACGATACGACAAATAGTACTATCGAACGTTTAAGTGATACGCGTTACCAGCATTACGGAGCACGATTACGGATCGTTTCCAGACAAGACGCGTTGAAGTAGTACTTTTAATCCTTCGGGACCTATTCTTTCTCCGCGTAATATCGTCGTCTCGCTCGTATCGCTTCTCCGCTTCGTAACTTTAAACTTTAAACATTAAGCTGTCTCGTCCCGTCCCATTTGTCGCAACTTTTTTTTTTTTCTTTTTTTATTTCTCTCCACGCTTTTCAAGTATTCGTTTCTTTACTCGTTACAACGTACAAATCCCATTGTCCGACTCCAATAACGATTTCGATTACGACGACGATTGGTTCGCGGCAGGTATCGCTACCGCATCGGCGTTTACCGTCCGTTCTTTCTTCGCGAAAATAGCCATAACGTTCGAAACGCTAAATAGAACGGATTGTCGTATCTCGTGTTCGAAGCGTTAAACTTTACACGGAAGATTCGGGCAAATCCTATTGTTAGGAATAGACATTGCAACGAGGTTTTTTCTTTTTTTCTTTTTTTTTGCTCGCTGTTGTTCGATTTAAGTAAAAAATTGTGAAAAAGTCGATAACATAGAAGAAAATAAGCGATGCTTTTTAAAAGTGAGAAAACGGGAAAAAGGAAGAAAGAAAGAATCTCGTCCGAATTATCGTTTCGTGGACGTGTAACGCGTTAGAAAATCACTTGTACTAAGGTTGTCAAGAGAGATGACGAATCCAACTCGGATCTCGTATTACGACTCATCGACGTGAACGAGCTTCAAATTAACCGAGTTCAAACGATAGTCATCGACAGAATTTAAGCGACAAAACAAATATAAAAGATGAGAGTAAGTACTCGAAGAAATTGCTATAGCTAGATTACGTATAATTACATATTTGTCTTGCACTTCCCCGGTAACGCGATTTTTTCAGACAGTTACAAGTCCGCAGTCGAAACAAACCTAGTGATACATAAAACTAGTCAAGTAGAATCCTCTAGTATTCTATCGATGAAACCAAATTCGCGCATAGAGTTATACATACTGTACTTGTACAAAGTAGTTAAGGGTTTATTTTGTGCAATGATCGAATTAACGTTAACGATGCGATGAAATAGTTTTAAGTTGACATGCCGTGAACATTGTTTCACGATATAACAAAAATAATATTATTAATAATATTAATAATAATAATAATAATGATGATGATAATGATGATGATGATGATGATGATGATGATGATGATGATGATGATAATGATGATAATGATGATAATGATGATAATGATGGTAATGATAATAATAAATAACAAATAATAATAATAAATAATAATAATAACAACAATAACGATAACAATAAAAAAAGAAAAGGGAACGTGCAGTATGCGTAAAAGCAGAATATACCAAGCCGTCGCAGACGTCGGTAAACAACGGATTGATATAAGCCTGTACGAATGCTCATGAATCGCGTCCACGCGCGTTTACTTGTATTACCGTGTCCGCGCGCTCGTCTTTCGAACTCGATCAACTGGAAACTATGCGAAATCCTTTTGCGCGAACGTACACAAGTTCTAAAGTTTCTAAAGTGGTCGACGGGAATGCGCGAGCAAAGAAACTTTTTGTGTAAATCGATTATGAACTTGTAATCAAAGATCAAATGTACGTTTGAATGTAAACAAACACGCATAATACAGCTCATTGGACGTATTCTCTAATCTAGGTTTGTAATCGAAAAGCATCGTAGGTTACTTATATCATTCACTTTGAAAATTCGCACCTTCACAACAATAAAGAGAAAGTGTTTCGTTTTCGAAATTATGTAGATAACAATGTTATTATTGATCTATCGTTTAAGCGAATTCGATCGATACTTCAAAGATTACAGATGTTTTGAAAATACATGGCCGGAAGTTATGCGTGTTCGATTAACGCATAGATATTCTTCGTTTCTTCAATTTACATTGCGAACAAGAAAAAAGAATGAAAGAACCGAGCGAACGAGCGCGAATAAGCACGGAGGAAATTTACTCGTCGTATTTTTAGTCTGTTGGACGAGCATCGATATACGCGTATTTTCCTCTATTCGTTCAGTTTGGTGGGAACATCGAACGGTAGAACTTCTATAATATGACCAGTATTTCCATAGTCGTACGTATAAATGTTGGGTGTCTCCTGTATAAAAGTCTCGTGGATAGAAATGAGCCGATTACACATCCTTCACGGGTAAAGCAGATAGAAAGGAAGATGGGACAAAGGATAGGTTTCCTGAACATCGTTCCTTTCCCTTTGACTCGTTGTTTCTACTATTTTTTTACAGAAATTCGCTCCATTTGTGATAGACCACGTACACTGGTCACGGCCATGGGATTACGAGGTAGTATAGATAGCATAATTGAAACAAGCATATGTGGCATATTTTCCTCCGTTGCCTTTATTCGTTTGCACGAGAGATCACCGACTACGACGTACAACGGTGTCAGGGCCAATTCGAGAGATTTCGCTCGTACTCGACTAGCAAAGTACCCATCCCACTAAGTTCCATCGAACGGCACTGGGAGAACCATATAATCCCTGCCGTTGCGAAACGATTATGTTGCTGTATATATTTGTATATACATATGTACACATTGTCGCTGCAAGGAGCCACTGTCCACGGGCTCCTAGGTACGACGAATTTTCATTCGTTCTACACAAATTCGCTCTAACGATCCTTTTTTCTCTATTACTACGCGTCGCTAGGAGGACGACAGCGACGACATTAAAATCGCGCGGTTAAATATGCTAGTAGTACATCTATGTTATATTTTCCTTATTTATATATTTTTGTCTAGCATGCGTATAACTGTTGGTAGAGAGCGTATGGGAGAAAGATTTCAGCGGGATATTATTATTTCGGTTCGTTTTATTGTTTGCCGATTTGAAAAATATCTTATATCAACTGGATGTTATGTGCTGACACGTTCGAACATTGCAATAAAGCGGGAATCCACTTCTCCTATTTCGCCACTCTCTCTCTTGTAAACGCCTAAAATGCTGCTGACCGTAAATGCGTGTAGCATCGAAGTCGTGTTCGCTTTTTTGATTCGTCGTTGTCAAACTAATCGAAATTGGACAAAGAAAAGAGAGAAATTGTTTGATTCGCGGAAGAGGGCAGCAGTGATCTTGAATAATTAGAAGATATTTCTAATAGACCTAAAGTTCATCGTTATCCGAGCTCACGTCCGGTTTTGATCAGTATGGCCAAGTATTGTCCGTTTAATCTTTCGAGGATCACTAGACAAACCTATATTTTTCGCTCGACCCCGGAATTGTCTCTACTTCAGCCAACGGCAGTGCGTATTTCGGTTAGTCCGAACTCGAATAGAGAGGAACTACCTCCAGGCACCTGCTGGACTTGATAAAAATATTAAACGAAACGTTAAAGGAGCAATCATCGACGAGAATATATGATAAAGATTCGTACGACTCGTAAATACTATTGATCATCGTTCCTTACGAAGTTTGCTGTTAAGTCAGAAGCGCGCGATATTTAATAATATAGCCGTTCGATTTCGTCGTTATCATCGATACACAGGTAATTAATTAATAGAACGTTGAAAGTAGGTATACTGTTAGCTAGCGCAAACGAAATATATATCGTACATAAGTAATTACCAGTCGGATAACGTAGAAATTCGACGATGACTCGTAACATTTGTACGATAGAGGTTATTCTAACCTATTCGCGTGTCTTGATACGTTTTGTTTCACACGCGGTTGACACGCGAATTCGGTTGTCGTGTAGCATGGAAAGGAAGCGAATCGACGAAAATTCTTCGATACGAAAGAAAAACTTGTGACACGGCATAGAGACGAAAAGGAGAGGGTTACGATATGTTATAGTATAATAATATATTAATAACTGTGATGCGTAACACTTTTTGGCTACCCGACGCTATGCATCTATACCCAGCAGTATTTTACTTGGTATATTTTTGATATCGTTGTCTGTTCGATTTTCTTGATAGCTGTATATTTTCTCGACGACAAATGATCCTAAAATGTTAAATAGAAAGCGAACGATGGTGGAACAGCAGCGATTCTACTCGCTCGTGAAATCCGCATAACGTAGTATACATAATAAATGCAAGAAAAGAACGAAACATTTTCATGCGTACTTTGATTTCAGAAGATGTGGCCCGTGTTGAGCAGATTATTAAGTAGATTCACGGTTTACATATCTATCCCTGTTGGCATTGTTGGATATTACCTAGAAGGATTAATATCGAATCGTTACACACCCTCGACAGGAGGGTCAATAACGGAGCAACGCGACGAAAGGTTACTGAACAGTACAGATTCGACGAGCGACGACAAGAAACGTCACAATCCTTTAGAATTTAATCTTCCTCCTTCGTTGTCCACATAATTGTACCAATCGAATCGTAATTTCGAACGAAACAAGTTAACGCAAGGAATTTACTCGCGACCGTTAAAATGTTAAATGCAAACTGTATTGTAAATATACATATTAAGATCGATCTTAAAGACAGTTAGAGACTAGTAATTATATCTCGTTCGACTTGGATCGAACGATCGAAGATTTCGAAGAAGAGGCACGCTTGTTCGAGCGATTTAAGCGACCACTCGAAATTTATAGGTGACCGTATGGTGATAAAGCTGGCCAGGTGCGAGTATACTGTTGGGAAAGTTTTCCTGCAAACGTTAATCCAGAGATATTTAATCGAATAAGAAATAATATTTAATGATGCGGATTAAAAGAGACGCGGTACGCGGCGTACACTCTTACTTACGTGGTTAACAGCATCTGGATAATTTTGCGTTTCTAGACAAAATGCTCCGTGTTTGAAGTAGGCACTAGCATTTTTTCCTCGAATACCCGCGTTACCGGGTGCAGGTAGAAAATTAGCCGTGTAAAATTGTACTCCCGGCTGATTCGAAAACACCTCCAAGCATCTTCCAGAAGTCGGATGTAAAACCTTGGCTACGAAATTTTCGTGATCGGCAGTAGCGCTGGACGTTACGCAAAAGTTATGATCGTAACCTCCGTTCGGTAATCGATCGATCACGTCACCGAGCCTCGTCGTATTTCGAAGTTCCATGAGGGTTCCGTCGACCGGTCGAATTTCACCGGTAGGGATGCTCTCTGAATCCGTAACGGTCCAACGATCCGCGTTCAACGTAAATCGATGCTCGTACAGTTCGGTCGAGTTAGCGTTCTGAAACACATCAAGCAGATCCTTCTTTCCCAACTTACTTCTTCTACCAATTAGATATTTAACAAAGGAGGAGAAAATAAATTTACTCACATGGCCAGCCAAGTTGAAATAACTGTGATTAGTCAAATTGACGGGAGTAGGTTTGCTAACGAAAACTTTCATTTCGATGCGCAATTCTCCGTCGGATGTTAGTCGAAAGGTGACCGTAGCAATCGCGGCTCCGGGATATCCTTCGTCGCCGTCTTCGCTCAGCAACGAGAGCACCAATCGATCCTCTTCGATCGTAGCGTTCCAAATTTTCGAACTCCAACCCTTGAAACCGCCGTGAAGGCTATTTCGTCCCGCGTTCTTACCCAAACGATATTTTTCCCCGTTTAGAAGAAATTCTGCGCCTCCTACGCGATTCGCGACTCTTCCAATGGTCGCGCCAAAGTACGGATTACTTTTTGACGCGTACCCTGAAAAAATATCGCGCTTTTGCGAATAAATGAATAAATAAATAAACGGATTCGATCGGACGCCTCGCAAAGGCCTTTTTGTTTCCGAAAAGAATCGAACGTTCGTTACCTTCTACGTTATCGTAACCCAGAACAACATCCGTCACGTTACCGTGTTTGTCCGGTGTTCTAATGGATGTTATCGTCGCACCGTACGTCACAATATCCACTTCTTGACACAATTTATTCTTTAAAGTGTACTTTTCTACGCTTCGACCGTCGATTGATCCCCAGTTCGAGACAGTTATCGATCCCTCACCATTCGCTTCCATGATGGATCTGAAACAAACCAGAGAAACTAAATTACTCTATATTTACGTACGCTGCCAAGCTCGAGGGGACCATCGAACCGCATCTTTTCGACATTATTTCTACGATGATCCAAAATTTCTGTTATAATACGAAAGAATTTTGGTTAGCGCGATTACCTACGTGCCGGATAGTCCGTTATTACAAATCAACACGCGAACAAATTGTTTCTTTCACCTTCGTTGCGATACTGACCATAATAATGTCGTGCGCGACTAATCATATCGTGGTCAAGATCTAACAGGAAAGGAGATTAAAAGCAGGCACTTAAAATTCAGCGCGTGCAAGTATTTATGTATTTTCAAATTCTTTTCAAGTACGTATAGATATACGTAGTCCGATAAGAGACGCAGTAATTAGTATTACCGTCCTTCGCCTCCACCCCCTCTCTCTATCGCTCTCCCGCGCGCTCTCTCTCTCTCTCTTTCTCTCTCTGTGCATATTACATCTGTCTAGATTCTAGATACATCTGTATATTTCTCGGTAGTCATACTTTGTCGATAATTTATCTCGAAGAAGAAGTTCGAGTTTTTCCGAGAATCGGGATCTATGTAAAATAAGTATATGTACATGTCTATACGACGTTCGAAAATTGAGCACGTCTGAACGAATAATTAAACGAATCGTCTTGTCTGTACCGTAATCGTTTTCCGTAAAGTCAAATACTAACTCGACTAATCTTACCCGAGTAAACGAAGAGCCATTATCGCGATGTAAGGAGTAAGCCGCATGCTGAGACGGAAAGCAACAACGACACGATATACAGTGGAGTATTAAAACGACTTTACGGAAAGCCGCTGAAAGTCACGATGGCTTCTACTTGCTCGATATCCGGCGGTCTGCCGCGTGCATTGCCTGCCGACGCGACGTTCGCTAATTCGCTTTTCCCTCGTCGATTCGACCAATCGACCAACGCTACAAAACGATCGGTCGAATACGAATCGAGAAATGGTTACGCCTAACTCGATCGCGCAATACCGCGTACTTTAATTTCGCGGACAAAACTTTTCAATTAAAAACATATTAAAGCGAAAATTCTATTCCCTTTAAGCTCACGGCGAACAATTACGTTGTTCGAATCGGATGTAATTTTTGCCTGCAATTACCAGAGACAGAGGGAGGAGGATCGAGGCAAGGAAAGAATATCTTTTGCAAAGCAATGATCGCGATATCTCAACGGAAGAATTCCTTTATCCGAAACGATTACGAAGTTAAAATTCCATACCAACTATGCTGTACTCGTTAGGTGGCAAGGTCGTATTTCGTAACGCGTCGTTGTTTACTTCCTCCATGGAAAAATCGAAGAAAATCGATAAATAGAAGAGTTATAAAATAGAAGAATCGAAAAATTGAATAACATCCGCTTGTTACTTACTGCATAGCGCGAATAATTAATAACGACTCGTTATCGTGAATCGTCTTTGATACGACCTCGTCAAGTTGCTACTCAAGATAGCGAGTGCGCGTTCATTTTTCATGGTCATAGTTGAATAGCCTTAAGAAGGAGAGCGCATATCGCGATATGCGATTTTGAAAACGTCTAATCATTGATAATAGACCGATTAATCGATTAGAAATATTCCATCCGCCGATGCGTCATCGTAACGAGTGTACTTAGCGCTGCCTATCCATATTTTCCCTTAGTTCCTCGAATCGACACGACGATTTTATCGTTGGCTGCACTTACGCGTTCTCGATCTTCCAAGTAAAACAATCGCCGATTTAAATTCGTGCTTTATTTCCCAACAATATATCCGACGGATAGCTCGAATTTATTTACTTTCGATCGAATCTTACCTATTCCCTTCGAGCGTGCTATCAGTTTCGAAAAAAATTTCTATGTCGCGTGTACGTACTTGCTGACTTCTCCATAGAGCTGAACTAAATTATTCGACTATCGAAAAAGTGAAAATGGAGCGACGGATCAGCCCCGAATCGACTTTAGGGGCCTCGTGCGGCCAAGTCGCGAAACTTTTACGATCCTTATTTTTCTTATTATGTATTTGGTTTTTACAAAAAGGGACATTTGCAAGCTATATGTATAATTTCTTTTTTCCGTCACTATACTGTTTGTATAATTTTACAGGGTATCGGTAAGTTTTTAAAGCACAACTTCAAAATCGGTCTCTATAATATTTTCTAGAATTATACGAGAAATATTTAAAAAAATATTGAAAAATATTGCTTTTTTGGGTGAAACGGTTGGAACAACAAGATTCGATTTCTGTCCAAAGCAAGATGTCCAGAAGAAACAAGGCTTCGTTGTACTCTGTTCATTCAAATTCGACTTCTACCTTATACTCTTCAACGAATTCGCGGAATTCGTAACGCTGATTTTGCGTTTGCGTTTTCGTTAGCAGCCATACATTAGTATGCGCATAAACACGCTCGATGGCCGAACAAATACATAGACAGTATATAGGTATATAGGTATATAGGTATATAGGTATAGCGCAGAAAGGTGCAACGAGAAGAATGTTAGCTAGCAGCGATAACACGCAGCGTAGCGGCGCTGTTGTCGTCGAAACTCGAAAGAAGAGTGGGGAAAGTACGAGCGACGATTGGTTCTCGCGAGTAACGCGTAACGCGTCGTACGGTGTTGGATAGCGTCAGCAAACTTCTTTTCGACTTTCCGTGAATCGTGTCGCGCATTTGTGTCATTTCGTGCAGGAATACCAGTCGTATACGCGCACAGAGCTTTATTTTCGTATTTTGATAGCGTTTTAAGATTTTGAGCAAGAAGAAACGCACAATAACTAGCGAGAAATCACGTTTCTTTATCGGTGCATCAGTGATAAATACTTGAAAAAATTATTCGCATTCGACGGTGGTCATTAACAACGCTTTTTCTCAATTTCTTCCTTCTTCCGTTATTCTGTCGCTCGTTTACCTCGTAAATAATAAAAATAGCAAAAAATATAACGATAATAATAATAAGAAGAATATCGCGTAAATCGAGGGTAGACGGGAGAAGGTTTGATACGTAGCAGTAAAAAGCGGCGGTGAGTCAGCCGTGGAATCGAATAGGAAACTCCGATCAAATCGACGGTGGAATTTGTACCGATACGGCTCTTATACCGCCACGTTCGCGATACGAATGTTCTCTTCTATTCGGAGTTAGACGATCTAACCTCGGTCTCGTGACACGCACAAGAGAAACGCTCGGAAGAACATCGAGAAAGATTGGAATAGGAACCGTTTAAGAACAAGAGCAAAATTCGTGGATAAGACAGTCACGGTAGCAGAAATTTCGGTTTACCCAACATTCATCGACGCTACAGAGATCGTGCAAATTGCAACCGCTAAGATGGGTCTGGGAAATAAGGTGCGTATAGTGTACCATACGTAGCAAGTAGCAAGCTTTACGACACGATTCGATGCTTTTGAAGGTGATCGTAAAGATGGTAAAATCACGGTGTTCGGTAGCGCTCTGAATCGCGCGTATAGATCAGCGAACGCGTTTTCACCGTTTAACCACGAAACAGCATAATATTTCACGTTATCGAGAAAGCATTTTATACATCTCGAAAACCTCGACGATGATCGATGTTTTATCCGTTTACGCGAGCCCGAAACGCTTACGTGTGCGATTCGTGTGTCGCGTACGTCGCACGCGAAACTATTCTATTTAGAAAATATAATACTCCGACGCGAAATCGAACGGGCGATACGCGCGTTATCAGCGTTCACGCGCAGTTTTTACTAGAGCCACGTTAAAAACAACGGGATTTTAACGGAGCACTTACGAAATCGATATCGACACCTAATACGAACAACACTACTACCTATAATGGTTCGTATTTACGTTAAAATTGCGATCTTATTCGCTTATCAGATATCTAGACATTTTATGAGAGTTGTTAATCGATAGATGTATGCGGATCGTATCGCGAAAACAAATGTACTAAAATTAAATGTAAAGGTAAAAAAATCTGTTGTAAAAGTTAGACGAAAAGAAGTATTCGGTAACGGAAAATTCAAGATAAATCGATCGGGGGAGTTTCGCGTAGTCGTAATTGATATTGTGCTCGGAAAGCAATCTCTCTCTCTCTTTCTCTATCTATCTATCTATCTTCCTCCTTTGTGTGCGTGTGTGTGTGTGTGTCTCCTCCCATTTATTTCTCGCTCGCTTATCCTGCTGGAAGCGCGTGCGCGGGCACGCGGCCGCCAGTCAGAGAGAGAAAGATGATATGATTTTAACGACAAAGTTGTATCGTATCGTTATCGACAGAATTTATTGAAAACGTGGAAATAAATGCAACGTCGTTTTGTTTGGCAAAATTGGTAGATTTTGCTGTGAGGTGCCACGCTATAAAAAGGATATTTTGCCAAGCGACGAGTAGCGAATAATTTGGCGTATATGCAAGATGTAGTTAAGCGAAGAAAGCTGTTTCGTATCGATCGGAGACGGTGACGCGTTACATTGCATCGGGACGACTCGACGAGGTTGTTCGTTGGGACTTTCATCTCCGATAGAGAAAATCTCGGTCGAGATTTTCGAAAAATATTTACCTACTATTTCTAATTACACGTTATATTTGGAAGACGGCCGGAGACTAGATTTTCCTTGACGTCGATACTTTCTCGAAAGATTATCGTTATCGATGGAAAGAAGATGCGTTCGCGTTGACGATCTCGCCATGCGACGATAAAGAGATAGCGATACTTCGAAATCACGATTTGTCCTTGACGATTGGTGGTCAATGGTGCTCGAGCGTTATTCTTAAAATGAAACCGACGCGCGATGCGCCGAACGTTTCTCGAACGAAAAGTAGGCTCGCAAAGTAGGTTACAGTTAGGAGCCGCTTTATACGCGATAATTTCGTTCGTCCGATTCGCGACGCGAAACGAATTCCTAGGTAGAGGAGAATGAGCGAATTAGTTAAATTAAGCCTTAATCAGTTAAACGGTAGGAGGCGTGTTTTCTATGGAACGCAACGCGAAGAGCGTCGTAAAAGATCGCTATGGAATTTTTCGCCGCAACTCGAGACTCGAGCGATAAACGAATTAACCGTAATAGTTGATCATACGGTTAGCGTATCTCGAAAATTCTAGCTACTTAAGTCTCGCGGTTTTATTCCTGGATTCGGCATTATTGCGCTATCGATATCGTAACGTTGATTCCTCTTATCTCGGCGTTTATCAGTCGCGTTTGTCGATTACGTAATCGAAAACGGGTAATCGCGAGATCGCAAGAAGCCGTTTACAGTTTTAAAAACTCGGTAAAACGCGAAGAAAATTCGGGGAAAACGTAACGCTCGATGCTCGATACTTCGTAGGATGCATTCCGCGAAGAAAGGATCGCGTTGTACGCAGGACAAAATATCGATCGTTATTTTCGCGCAAGTCCGGTGACGAGGGTAAATCGTTGCGGCCCGGTTAGAACCCGGTTAGTCGACGACGCGTTTCTAACTCCGCGAACGGTCGAGTACGCCTTTCGTCCGCGTCTTCGTTTACGTCCGGAACCGTGATTTCTAACGTCCTAGCGTTAGACGAATATGCGTTATCCGTATTAGTCCGTCGAAACCGATGGACTAATACTTTTCGTTGAAACGGACAAGGGAAAAGGACGATAAATCGATTCTCGTCGAATGGAGTTGGCGTTATTCACGTTGGTCGTTTAACGGACGATGCCGGTCACGCGCGAACCGAGCGTCGTCGCGCGCGAACCTTAACGCGAAAATTCACGCAATAAACTATTATAACCGTAATAGATGATCCGTTCGAAAATACGAACCGATAGCTACCATAAATCGGACAGTCCCAGAGTTGCTAAATAAACGAGAATATATAACGTTCGGTTATATAGCTCGGCTCGATCAGACTCGAGCGTTCGATAATACAGCGCGACAACGCGTTACGCGAACACCGAACACTAGCTCGGCTGCCGCGTTTATCCGACTTTCTTCTATCGTGTGTTTTCTACGTTAGATGTCCGAAGAGAATCCAGAGATGCGAGAAATGGCAGCACGCATATGTCGAGATTACCTTCACGGAGTCTGGAAGCACGTTACCGCGGAGAATATTAGGCTGAAACGCATCAGGTTAGTGCGACTATCAAAAATCTAGAGCTCCTATCGAAATACGAGAGAACGAAAGAGATTGGTTGATTTTGCAGCGGCGGTCTCAGCAACTGGTTGTACAACGTTCAGTTACCGGACGGAACGGTCCCGATTCGGGGCGAACCGCGCCAGGTTTTGCTAAGGCTGTACGGTCAAGTACACGGAGAAAGAGCTTTGGAAGGATTAATCACGGAATCGGTAATCTTCACGTTGCTGTCGGAGAGGCGGCTCGGACCAAAATTACACGGTATATTCCCCGGCGGCCGAATCGAAGAGTACATACCGGCCAGGCCGTTGCTCACCAAGGAATTGGCCGATCCTACATTGAGTTCGATGATCGCCGAAAAAATGGCTCAGATTCACACGATGCAAGTCCCGATAAGCAAAGAACCGACCTGGCTCTGGGACACCATGGCTAAGTGGTTGGACACCGCTACGGATATTCTGGAAAACGCCGAAGACGTGGACGCTCGACACTCGAAGAACGTGAACGCGATACGGGCGATCGATTTATCCCACGAGATCGCTTGGTTCAGGTATAATACTTTTCTCTTTCTACTCCGTTCGCCTTTCGAACCGAATCACCCTTTTCGCTACGAGACGAGCTACGAACAAACGCATATTTTCAGATTTCTCGTTACGCGACAAAAGTATCCGGTTGTCTTTTGTCACAACGATATGCAAGAAGGTAATATACTGCTACGACAAAACACACGGAAACCGGAACTGGTTCTTATCGACTTCGAGTACTGTTCCTATAATTATCGAGGATTCGACATAGCGAATCATTTCGTCGAGTGGCAATACGATTATACGGCAGCGGAATATCCTTTCTTTCACGAACGCACGGGATCCGGCCCTACGGAAGAACAAAAGGTAAGTGTCGGAGAACTACGACCCTTAAAGTATTCGTAGGAAAAGAGGTAAGAGTAAGATCGTCGCATTTTATTCTCCTTCATTATACACGGTATCTCGTGCAACTTGTCTTGCGCCTTCGTTTAGTCCGATCGGACGGAATCGAATCGGATCGGTAATTCTTTATCCGCGGTATCTTAACGAATAGACGCGAATTAGAAACGCGCTCGAAACGACACGATGCGCGGACGCGGGAAAAAAAAAAACGCCAGGGACACGGGGAAAATCACGGTCTCGCGAACATACATTTTCTTTCCTCGTACACACTTGCCGTTTAAACGCTCGCGACGATCGTCTCGAATCGGTTTAACGACGACCTTTTTTTGTCCGTTTTTATTCGCGATCGATGTCGAATCGGAACGGAACGTTTTTTCGATGCCCGACAACGTCGTCTCCTGTTTGCTCCTGTTCCTGGATCTCCGTCCGCCTGCCCGTTTGCCCGTTTACACCTCGACCTTCGCGTCGTAAATTGAAAAATTCAAAGCGCAAGACCAAGTTCGACCGTATGCGATGCGCGCAAACACGCATACGTAGCTAGGTGTACTCGGTCATGCCGATTCGAGAAATATCGAGAGCAGATCGAGGATTGCTCGGCGTGTGCTGCGTGTGTATATATTAGTTTCACAGGACCACGATTCGGTGAGACAAGGCTGATGCCTGCGATCGGATTGCTAATCGGATTAATGGACGGCATATCTATCTGCCAGTGCGATGGATCCTGTCTCGCACCGTACCTTGTGGAACCAGAATGACACCGGTGCCATCACCCACCTTTGCAACACCAGTCCCGTACCTGCGCATCTACGACTCTAGAGTACCTCTACACGCACTCTCGATAGTCGATCCATTATCTACATTGCTCGATAAATGTACAGTGTCTTATATGGGTGGTAAAATCGCGTTATTTCCAATTAAGACACTTTTCTCCTCGCGTTCGATTATACGTATCCGTTTGCCGTACGCTTTCGATTATCCCGAACGACGCGATCCGAATTACGCTTCACTCGTTTACATTTTTCCACCTGCCTACCCGACGATTACGATCTATCTGTTATTGTCGCGCGCTTTCCTTCTCTTTGCTTATTTTCACCATTATTATTTCTTGCGGAACAACGTTTTCTCCATTCGATTTCCGATTATTTATCTTTATTATCTCTCTTTTCTTTCTTTTTTTTCCCCTTTTTTTTTTCTTTTTCTTTTAATTTCTCTACAGTTACTTCATTTGATTTTTTTCCCCTTCTTTCGTTCGCTCGCGTACGATTGCTTCGCGTTTGCGCATAGTCGCGCTCACCCACTTTTGTCGGTGTATGAGTTGCGTACCGCCATATATACGCGTCTGTATATGTTTTAATGTATTTAGGTACGTGAATAGAACCACGTATCATACCACCTTTCTATCTTTTCAAGTTATCTTTCTTTATTTAATTTAGTGCGATTCGATCCAAACTTCCTTTCGAAATGGTGTTGCGCGTTTAACGATTTCATTCTTTCGACAGCTCAACTTTGTAAGAAGTTATTTGAGAACGATCGGCAAAGAAGGTCCGTCGGAAGAGGATCGAGTCATGACGGAAATCAAGATATTCTCCTTGGCTAGTCACTTATTTTGGGGCCTTTGGAGTATCGTCAATGCAAAATTATCGGAAATTCCATTCGGATATTGGGTAAGAGTACTTTCGCGTACGTACAACTCGACAATATTATTTTTACTATGATCCGTTGTTATTGCAGGATTACGCAGTTTCCCGATTAAAAAATTACCAATACTTGAAAGAGAAGATCATGGTATCTGGGCCACCGACGATAAATACCGAATTTACCGATAAGAAAACAACCGTGGTAGATTGAGAAACGCGAATCTATTTAATCGTCATGGTGTAAAATGCTTTCTATGCGACTGCAAACGACAGTTTGCTCGTCACATCTGCATATGCTCGTGATGATTATCTTGCCGGAATCAAAGTATCACGATCTATCGTTATCTTGTTATCAGAAATCGTGATACGTATCTTTTATTTTCCTAACGCGTGGAGGTGAAAGAATTTTGAGGAAAATAGAGGAGAACGAGCACGAACGTAACGTGTACGCACGCGTGCTCGCGAGAGTGATTGGTGGACAATTAGGTCGGGAAATAAATAAAGAAAGGAGTCGGGGGAGAGAGAGAGAGAGAGAGAGAGAGAGAGAGAGAGAGAGAGAGAGAGAGAGAGAGAGAGAGAGAGAGAGAGAGAGAGAGAGAGAGAGAGAGAGAGAGAGAGAGAGAGAGAGAGAGAGAGAGAGAGAGAGAGAGAGAGAGAGAGAGAGAGAGAGAGAGAGAGAGAGAGAGAGAGAGAGAGAGAGAGAGAGAGAGAGAGAGAGAGAGAGAGAGAGAGAGAGAGAGAGAGAGAGAGAGAGAGAGAGAGAGAGAGAGAGAGAGAGAGAGAGAGAGAGAGAGAGAGAGAGAGAGAGAGAGAGAGAGAGAGAGAGAGAGAGAGAGAGAGAGAGAGAGAGAGAGAGAGAGAGAGAGAGAGAGAGAGAGAGAGAGAGAGAGAGAGAGAGAGAGAGAGAGAGAGAGAGAGAGAGAGAGAGAGAGAGAGAGAGAGAGAGAGAGAGGAAGAGAAAGAGAAAGACGCGTGACAAAGGACGAAGACTGAGCGCGGAAGAAACGAGAACGGAAGGAGGAGCGGGGAAAACGATGGAACGACAGGAAAAGAGAAGCGAAGAAAATATAAGAAAGGGAAGATGCCTTACGAATTAACTAATGTGATATAGGATAAGAACGGTGTTCATCTATCGACACCGTTGATTTTTCAGGGAAACGATGCTCAATCCCCGAATCAGGCTGTATACGCTTCGACACAGATATTGGAATTTTAAAACGTTACCCGGATATTCCTATCGTTTGTAAATTCTATTATATACGTATATACATACGTATACGTATATCTCTGTATACCAGCATACGTGTATTGTATATATGTATACGTGCGTACATACGTATGTACACACACTTAATATACATACATATATACATACGGTTGATTTGTACATAATTACACTTTTGTTGTACCTGGATCGAACAATTGTTAATTGCAATTGGAATAGAACATTTTGTACGCTTAATGTTAAGCAACAAATCTTCGTATTCCTGGTCGCATCTTACGTACATGCGTACTTAATTACGTCTGTCTGTGTCGTTCCCTCGAACGAGTGATAAACGTTCGCACGATCGAACGAAAAGATAACGAGTCGACTACCATTTACGAACCTACTATACCAACTCCGTGCTGATGTAAACAAATTGCGTTTATAGATATCTTTTTTTGCGATTATTTAATACTACTCGCGTCTTGTTTGTAATCTTTTTACCGTAAACCTGCATTTTTCAAATACGACGCTCGCTTTTAACTTCATCGAACGACAATTTTTATTTTAATAAAGGTCCAACGAATGTTTTATGTTTTACAATTGCTTCTTCTTACTTATACCTCGCTTACCTTCTCTTCCCATTCTACAGAATTTCATCGCGTTTACGCTATAAACGAGTAAATATCCCTTTACGAACCTTGAAAAACTTTCGTTGTAAAAGAGAAGCGTACGATGTCGAACACGGCTACGATCGGAGGAAGAACGTACATGTCGCACAGCGTAAATTGCCGAGAAAGAAGTTCGTATGCAATATATTATACCATAATAAATTTTTGTTTCTGCGATACCGCCATTTATACCATGTTGTATCTCGCGCGGCTGAGATGGGTCTCTCACTATCATTCTTCTTTCTCTCTCGCCTCGACTACTCTTTGTAAATAACTATCCCATTGGATATAGATCTCTACGTATGAAAGTCGCAACGACGCTTGCGCGTTGTCCCTAGTTACAAAGTATGTTCGAACTTTGAACGTCACGGAATCTCGTGTTCGCTCGCGAACGAAGCGAAAGTATAAGTACATATATATACGTATTACTCCTTATGTTACTTTGACAACATCTTTCTATCGTTCTTCGATATTCCTTTTTGATCGGACGTCGCATACGTACCTAGTGCATAAATATTAAAATTTTTAGTATTCGCATCGATATAGAGGGCGCATCTGTCAGGCGCGCGACACAGTTCCGAAGGGTTCGATGAATGCGCATGAACCTACCGAGTGGATGTTGTTTTTATATGTTGATATTTTGCTTGGAGCAAATCGGATAACATTCTTTTTGCAACGACGGCTCCTTTGAGCATCGATAATTTCGGCTTTATCGTGTTTTGCTCGACTCTTACGGTCGAAAAATGACGGAAATTGAAAGAAACCTTGAAACTACGTCACACGATCAGTCAAACGATGATCGAACAGAAGCACAGAGTCGACTAATTGAAAAGGAAATATCTTCTCCTAATAATGATTCTACTTCTTCCTACGTATCGGAAGGAAATAGTGTCGAATCGACAAATGATTCCATACTCGATTCGGCCGAGGATCCTAATTTCGTAACTGCTACTACTTTCAAAAAGCCGGCCGTACTAACCGGTCCAAAACGTTTCCGGCCAGTAAGTAAAACTACCAAAACGTCGCTTTCGTTAAATCAATGTTCATCTGAAAACAGCGATCGCACCACTGATCATTTAACGAAACCTCGACTAGACTCGAAAGATCCTCCCTTTCCGTACGTAGAACCGGCTTGGGGAGGAAAATCGGAACAAGATTATAAACTGGAGGTGCTCAAATCTGGAGTCATCGTAGAGACTATCTTACTTAAAGAACAAAGTTTTTATATCGTTGGACGTTTACCTTCTTGTCACGTATCCCTCGCGCATCCGACTATTTCAAGATATCATGCAGTTTTACAATACAGGTCCAGAGAAGACGGAGAGAATCTTAAAGGTTTTTACGTTTACGATCTAGGAAGTACTCAGGGAACATTTTGGAACGGGCATCGTATAAAACCCAACGTTTATGTAAGAATTCGAGGAGGTCATATACTCAGATTCGGTTGTAGTCTAAGAAAATATATTGTTCAAGCACCGCCGCACGATCAAGAAGAAGAATCGTTATATACTTTGTCGGAATTAAAGGTGTCGCTCTCTCGTTTATTACCTTTCTCTGTTATTTTCTTGAAAGCTAGTTCATTCGTGTTGTCTATCTGTACCGTTTATCGCGTGCCATAAATAACAATGATATTTTAGGAAATGAGAGCGTTAGAACTGGAGAAACAACGCATGAACACTGAACCGAACCAAGAAGAAGAAAACGATGGTATCGACTGGGGTATGGGAGAGGACGCGGACGAAGAAACGGACTTACAAGAAAATCCTTATGCTTGCATCGCCGACGAGGATTTAGTTTTAGATGATCCTAAGAAAACTCTCAGAGGATGGTTCGAAAGAGAAGGATATGATCTTCAATATCAAACCGAAGAGAAGGGAATCGGACAGTTTTTATGCTGGGTGGAGTAAGCGATCTTTTAAATTATAGCATTCCTCTATCGAACTCTCGAACGATTTAACGTTGTACTCGTTTCTGCGAATCTTTAGTCTTCCCATAGAAGATATCGTTGGTCATGCCGTCAGAGCAGAAGCTATTGTTAAGGGTAAAAAGAAAGAAGCGGTTGTGCAATGCGCGCTGGAAGCGTGCAAAATTTTGGACAAATACGGCCTGTTAAGACAAGCGAATCATGGTAAGACCAAATTTATGTTATCGCATGTTATTACAACGTTCATTTCTTACTCTTACCGTTATCGTCAATTCCTATTATACGACACGAACAGAAGCGAGGAAAAGGAAAACGAGAAATTGGGAAGCCGAAGATTATTACGATTCCGACGAAGACAATTTTTTGGACAGAACCGGATCAGTGGAGAAGAAACGTGAGCAAAGGATGCGATTAGCTGGTAAATTAGAGGATAAAGCAGAAACGTACGATTCCTTGGTAAGTTTATGTTGAATTAAGACGTTTTATTAAAGATCGAAACATCGATGCACCTAAACAGAGTCGCATTTAGATGTTAAAGGTATTTCCTTATTTCGGCTTTAAATTAGAGCTCGATATCGATGAAGATTTGAATCACTATTTTTTTTTATCTTTCAGCTTGAAAAACACAAACAAGTTACTAAACGCATCTCGCATTTATCAAACTCGATCGAAAATTGGCAAAACGCGAACAGTATCGAAAAGGAAACAACGGACGAGGATGCGCTAGACGCTTTTATGTCCAGCTTGAATTCTTCCGCTTTAACTAAAAGCGATATCGCTAAGATGAAAGTAGAATTACAGAACCTTCGTAAGGAGGAAGCGAGTTTAACAAAGTTATTGAACTTAACTCGACCGGCGAATTTGCCTGCACTCGTTTCTACCAACGCGGAAGAAATGGCGCGAAGCGATAAAGTAGCCGAGAAAGCGACACGACAAGTGTCATCGGAAGCAAATAAAATTCAAGATTCCTTGTTCCGTCGTAGAAAAGTAAGCTAATACTTACTTCTTTATTCTTTAATATTAATTTTTGTTATTTTTGACTCGTTATTCTTAGATGGTTTTCTAAATTTTTCTTTCAGGAAAAACAAGCAAATAAACGAACGTACTCGAATCGTAAATCGATCGTAACAAGTACCACCGATGGTATTGGAACAGAAGCAGAATTGGAAGAAGAATTGGATAGCGACGATAACAGTGAACAGATTTTAAATTCGTCGCGTGCTTCATCGACCGAGGAAACTTGCGAATCACAAAATTTCACCGTTAGTATCGGAAATGATATGAACGAATCTTTAGAAGTGAACGAAGAAAAGCAGTCGCAACGTCAAGTTGATGCGACAAAAAAACGGCGACAAGAGCGAAAGAAAATAAATTACGGTCAGGACATTGATACGGCTAATTATTCAACGTGGGTCCCTCCACAAGATCAAGCAGGAGATGGGAAAACGAGTCTGAACGAAAAGTATGGCTATTGATTGAACGAAATAAAATTCGATCAATTTGCAATTGCAACGCCGTGTAATTACAATTTGATTCTAATGTATTATCCTTTATTATACGAAATTGTAAATATTGTATGTAATACACGTTTGTAGCGAAGTACTTCAATTTCGATATACTTTAACGCGGTTTCTCGTAAATATAAAATATTGCGATTAACATTTTACGCCTTGTACGTTTTCTGCTTAGTACTTTGTTCCACGCGAATTTGAACGGTACTTTGCTCCTTTGCTCTCGGCCTCTTCTCGAATCGGTACCTGTTCAATAGTTTACACTCCAGTTACTATAGAGTTCAATGTAGTGTTCATATACGATCGTGAATAAAGTTCGTGCGCATGCATACGGTATGTGTAACGAGGTGTATGTAAGCGATTAGTTGCAAGTTTCGACGACCGATGGCGCGACGTGTCGGTTTATGCAGTGCAGGGTGCAGTGATAGCGGTACTTAAAAGTACGTTTCGCTCGTTTACTACGACTTTGTAAAAATAAGAAATAAGAAATAATCTGAAAAAACTCGACACGGTATTCCATAAATAAAAAATAACTCGGTACCTTATCGTTTGATACGATGCGCACTTTGGAAATTTTCGAAATTTCCGTGCAGGGACATGGAGAAATATAGAATTAATATTTTGTCGAAATATAGAAAGATTCAATTTATTGATCATTTTCGTAATTACAAAGCTTCGTCGAAACGTTACTTTTATCCGAACCGCAGTTTCCGTTTATTATTCGCCGATACATTCGGGGACGGTCTAACGTTACTCGTTAGAATAATGAACAGGAATCGAATAAGATCTCGTATACCGTACATCTGACTGCACCAGGCGAGAACGCTTAAAGAAACGTCGACGAGTTTTCGCGATACCGATCTCGTATCGTACATCGTGTTCGCAGTATTTCCAGAGTGCCGCTATCGAATTCGGTAACCAGTAACCGGCATAGTTTTCGAGTATACAGTGCACGATTTTTCGAGGTTGCTTGGGAAACGTGGTAGTTAATCCAGGTCGAGAGAGAAGATACGTTCTTTCGTGCGTTTTTCGAAAACGCGCATCGTTCGCTTCTGTAACATCGATAAATTACCGATGAACTTTTCAATCTACTTTCTCTTTATTCGAATCGTTTCATACCGAATAACAGGGGTAATTTCGATCTCGCAGGGTGAATATTAAAGTACGAAACCGTTGCTAAATAATAGATTTATTTTTTCATCCAATGTCGGTACTTTTGTTTACAAAATAAAGGAAAAAGAACTGGGGCAAGGGGCGTGGGGCAGGGGCTGGCAGGGAAGCAATTAAACTTACATATCCGATAGAAACGCAGCGCCAACTTAATTAAATATCTAAACGTTGTAAACTAAAGTAACGCGTACGTTTCGTCGCCTCAATCTCGCGTACGCAATTTCCATCTTTGGAGATCCACGTAAATGAGGAACGATCGAAAATGAAAAAGTCGTGATAACCGCGTGAAAGGAAACGTAAAAGTTTGCCTCGTTCTCGTGATTCGGCAAATAATTCATTTTTCGTCCCCCTGCGAGATTCGTCGTATGATCCACGGAAAATGTACTGTTATTACGTAACGTGTAAATATCTCATGTCACAGAATGCATGCGCGAATACGCTATTGCAAATAGATACATATATATGTATATATATATATATATGAATATATATCTTCATCGATATAATCTCAGCTTTGTCCTTCGACGTGCGTCACGATGTAGGTACGAAAAGAAGCGAGTAAACGAAATCGATGCGTTCGCGTGGTGCGCGTGGTGCGCGTGGTAGGTGGTACGCGGTACATGGTACGTGGTGCATGGCGTGTAATGTGCGGACAATGAATTCGTTGCGACGTTCGATAGGTGACCGTAGATCGTCGTTAAAGAAACGGTAATTTTTCTCACGCGAACACGTTAATCCGTGATGATTTGCGCGTGACGCGTGGTCGAAAGCGAAACGCGAGTCTATCGATTATTTGGTGTAACGAATCGATGCATCGAAGCGAAATTTTCAAGGCGTTTCCGAATTTATAAACCGATCGACCATTACGGAGAGAAAGAGAGAATTATAGGATAAAAGAATGGAGAAATTACGCGTCGCGTTATATTTTCGCGGAGGAAGACGCGCGCGCGCAAACGATCATACGGATTTCGAAGCGTGTTCGGTGCTCGATGACGAACAGGCGAGGGAACAAAGCGGAGCAAAGTTCAGAGAAACGAAACAGTGGCGCCGAGTCGGTTTGAAACGAGCCGCCGAGTTAAGTCGCGTCTCGCCGCGTTACTTAGTGAACTTTAACGATGCCTCCGGCCCCGTAAGCTCCTGCTAGGAGAGCCTGCGTACCGTAGAGAGAACCTGGTGCGAGGCCAAGTCCCAAACCAAGGCCTACCAGTCCCGCGTTACCGGCCACTAAGTTGGACGTCGCGAC